GCGCCGTGTCCCGGCCCAGGAAGGACAAGAGCCCAGAGCAGGGGCTCGGCTGTGCCGGGGAAAGGTCGCTGCCATTGCCTTGGGAACAAGCCGAGGAGACCCAACCCAGGTTTTGGGCCCCGAGGTCGCCTAAAGTAGCAAGTTGTAAGGCTTTCCTCATGAATATGTATATCCCTGGCTGCTTAATCTGCCATCTTCAAACACAGGTGCCCTCATTTGGAGCTCTCCCACTGCAGCTGGAGCTGTAGTCCAGCCCTGTAAGAAAGCACTGCCTGCTTCCTAATGTTCCAGTGCTGTTGAAGAGCTTTATTCCTGAATTTCAGTTACTGCCACATGTCCACCTTCATGGCCCCTGGGCCATGACTGGGGCTGGTGTAGGGCCCTTCCCTGCCCAGACCTGGCTGTACATGAGCACACAACAATCCCACACTGTTCTGGGCACGCTGCATGTCAGTCTAAACAGTGCAGCTCTTTATTAATGTTCCTGAAATACAATGGGAAAGGTTTTAATTTTCTGAGCAGATTGCTGAATCATCTCCACCTTTTTCTCCCGGCCCAGCTCCGTGGGTACATTCCCTGTCAAACACCTGACACAAAGATTGTAATGAGCATAAATGAACTCTCTGCATTTCTTCCATGGTTTTGTGGGGGTTCCTGTGTCCTGCCCAGACCAACTCACCCTGACAGTTCAGTGGTTCAGCCAAGCTTATTCCCCGCTCCACAATGCAAGAAGCAACAAGAGCTGAGTGCGAGTTGTCTTGTGACAGAACAAGAGTCTGACATGGCAGAGGAGGAACTGGCTTAGCTGTGACTCAAGTCTTAAAGTGAATAAAAGAACAAGAATGGGCTCTCTTTTTTCCTGGAAGAGCTTTGGGCATGTTTCAGTGCCTAAAGGGGCTCCAAATGGGCTGAACAAGGGCCTTGAGTGACAGGACAAGGGACAAGAACTTCCCACTGCCGGAGGGCAGGGTTGGATGGGATATTGGGAAGAAATTTTTCCCTGGGAGCACAGTGAGGCACTGGCACAGGTGGCCCAGAGAAAACTGTGGCTGCCCCATTTGTGGAAGTGTTCGAGGGCAGGTTGGATGGGGTTGGGAGCAACCTGGCATAGTGGAAAGTGTCATTATTCCTGTCCCTGGCAGGGGTTTGAATGAGAAGCACATTAAGGTCCCTTCCAGCCCAAACCTTTGCATGATTCTGTGACCTCATGACTCTATGACCTCATGACTCCATGGCTCTGTGACCCACTGTGTCCTGGGGTGGGGTGTGGCCTTGCCTGGCAACGGGCGTTGTGATGAAGAGGGGCACGTGCAGCGCAGGCCCCAATCCTTTGAGGGCCGAGGAAGGAGGAAGGAGCCTGCTGGCAACTGATCCTCCTCCTCATCGCTATGGCTGATCCTTTTTATCAGGCTATTTGCTCAAACATTTTATCAGCCCTTTTGCTCATCCCTTTTGCAACCCCTATTAGTCTCCCCTTTTAGAGTCTCTATAGACCATAAATTTTAACATCCCAATAGCTTGTCCCTTTTTTTAATCCAAATAAGCATCCCTATAATTCATCCCAGTTAGAATCCCTATAGGTCATCCCTTTTATCATCCCTATAGGGCATCGGTTTTAGCATCCCCATAAGTCTTATACCTTAAAATCCCTATTGGTCATCCTTTTTCTTAATCCCTATAGGTCATCCCTTTTGTCATCCCTATAGGGTATTCCTTATATCATCCCTTTTAAACATCCCTTGTATCATCCCTGTTGGTCATCCCCTGTGCCACCACTTTTGGGCTTCCTGCCAGGTCCTATCTGCAAGGAAAGGTTTTGTTTTTGCAGACATGGCAATGCCCTTGGACACTCTCAGCCTCTCCCAGCTGCTGGATCTCGCCATCGGGATGCCCGAGAATGGAGCCGTCCACTTTGCGGCCATGAGGAAACTGCTGCGGGCCGTGCTGGGGCACCTGGACGTGCAGTACCTGAGAACCCAGGAGCCGTGGACGGGCGAGCTGAGTGGCCCCTCACTCGCTGAGTTGGCCACGGATTCAAAACAAATGAAGAAGGAAATGGAAGCCCTCAAGAGATTCATGCCAGAGGTAGTGGCTCTTCCCAGAGCCCCTGGTGCTCCCCCACCAGTCAGTCCCTCCCCACTTCCTCAGCAATGCTTGACTCTGCCCTCGCTGCCCAGGCAGTGCTTGGCCCGCTGGCAGCGGTTCCTGTCCCTTCATTGCTCTGGCACGGAGCCTGGCTGGGGCAGGCAGCACTGGGGCTCTCCCTGCTGACCCTGCCTGTGCCATGGGCTCATCAGGACAGGGCTGGGGCTCTCAGGGAACTTGCTCTCAAGGGCTCATCCATGATCATCATTTTTCCTTGACTGTCTCTCAGGCTTTTGAGGAAGAGAGTGATGGGACCGAAGGTGTATCAGGAATCCAGGGGGGACAGGTTTGTGCAGATCACACTGGGGGTGAAGGTTGTGTTCCCCAGGGACACTCCCCAGGGCCTCATCTCTGACACCCCTTTCTCCTACAGTCCCGCATGGCAGAGGACATGAAGAAGATCGTGGAGGAGCGTGACCAGGTGAACTGCTGCAGTCAGACACTTGTGTCTCTAAAGCAGCAGCCAGTGGCCTCGGCTCTGCCCGCTGGAGGCTCAGCAGCCCCGGCCCTGCTGGATGCATGGAGAGTGCTGCCCACAGTGCCCTGCCAGCCTGACTGAGCCTGACCTGCGCTGTCCCCTGTGCTGGGAATGCCATAGTATGGGGGGAGGTCCTGCAGGTCACAGGGACCTTCCCCTGGCAATCACCCCCACCACCCCTCTCTCCTATCAGAGTCTTCGGGAGGAGATTGACATGATTAAGGCGACACAGTCCCACATGGCAGAGAAGATGAAGGAGACCCTTGCATTGGTGAGCTGCTGGCTAGTGTCACCTTTAGGCTCTTGTGGGGTACCTGAGTGTGGCTCCCTGAGCTGGGCATTTGGGGTTGAGGCAGGGACAGGGTGTGGGGCCCTGGGTCTGCTCTTGCAGCTGAGGGGCCCTCATGCTGGGACAACACATGGTCTGTGCCCTGAGTCTGCCACCACTGCCCTTCCCAGATGAAGAAGATGGAGAAGGACATCGCACAGCTGAGGGAGGATATAGCCAAGTGGAAAGAAGAAACCAGTCAGCAGATCACTCAGCAAATGGAGTAAGAGGACAGGAGAGGGGTTTATACCCTGCAGGGCTGCAAGGAAGCCAAGTGGGCTTGGGAGCATCCTGGTTTGGGGGTAAGGGACATTGTCCAAGCAGCACTGGGGAGGCTAAGCCTGCCCCTGCCCCCATCTCGCTGGTCAGGTCAGTTCTGCAAGAGACACGGAATGAGCTGAAGAAGATGGAGGAGCAGCAGGAGATGAGGAATGCCATGCTGGAACAGATGGTGAACGAGACAACCAACCAGATGCAGGAGAAGGTGAGGTGCTGGGTGTTCTCTCCCACCACCCGCGGGCTCAGTGGAGGGATCCTGACAGTGTTCCCAGCCACATCCCCCAGCTGGCTGGGGCCACTGAGCCCCATGGCACCCAGGGCTACTGGTTGCATCCATCCCATCTGAATGGATTCCTTCTGCCCTTGCTGCAGATGGGCGAGCTGGAGGAGATAGTGGGGATGGTGCAGGAGGAGCAGGAGATGGCAAAGGCAGCGTGCACCAACTGCAGCTTCGACTACAAAGTGCTTATAGGGCAGCTCGTCCAGCGCTGCGAGAAACTCGAGGAGGAGGTGGACTCCCTGGAGTCACGGCAGAGAACAGTGGGCAAGTTGGACCGCTTCATAAAGCAAAGAAGCCAGGTAGGGAGTTGGCACCACAGGGGACTTGGCAGTGGGCTCATGGCCTTCCCTGCCTGACTCTGCTTTGCTGTAAAATGTGGGGGAGCCCCTCAGTGCCCCCAGGCTGGCTGGGACCAGTCAGCAGCATGGAAGGAAATGAAAGCCTTGGTGCCAATGTCCTGTTGGCACT